CCTTGACCATCATAGCTAGTACAAGCTAGTACGTAGCTAATACAACTCCTAGTACAAGAAGAATAGTACCATTTGAGTACAATTATACATTTCTGAGCAACGGGAGATCAGAGGAAAAACCCTATATACTTTAGCGATGGAAAGATGTGTTAGGAGGGCCTCTTTTTTACTTCATGCTTTCTTGCACGTGTCTTCAATTTTGGGCAAACAAAAGAGTCCCTTGGTAGCACTCGTAGCGTTGTTTTGTCATGTGAAGATACATGAGCAATGAAGTGAGCAAGAGCGGAGCAGTTGTGCTTAAATAGCACAGCAGCAAGCAAAATGGATTCAGCTTACATAATATTAAAAGCTGAAAGCTGCTCCAAGACATTCTGCAACTCCTCCCACAGATGAGCTATAGCTAGAAAAATCCCATTAAAAATAAATAAAAATAACCTTTCCCAAGGTGGTGAACAATCTTTAAAACCTTCTTGTTCAGTAGTGAGAGCATAATTCTGATGTTTGTATTGTATTGAATAAAATTGCTTCAATTCTCCACCCTGATCTGGACAATTAGGGCAAGTCTTAAAACAGGATCTGTAGACGAATGTTAGTCAAGGGTTGTTGATGTAGTAAGAGTGGTTTAAATAGGTGATTTCTTTAAAACCTTCTGAACTTGCTTGGCTATGATTTTAACTGTTGTGTCCAATCCTAAAAACTGTCATAAGCCTTGTAAAATACATAATCCTTTTGGTTTGAGACTGTTGTTTAAGTTGTCTGGTACAAAGTATTTTCAGGTGAGGCATACTTTTTAAAGCCCTAGCCTAGCTTTTCTTTTTTTTTTTAATTTGACAAAACCTGTTCCCTCTTCTTCTAGACTTGTTATGTATGCCTCTCCACAAAAGTAAGACAATGCTGTTTTAAGATAGGTTTAAGTAGGAAAATGTAGCCACATCTAGCAGTGTTATCCATTACCGAAGATAATCTGAACTTATCAAAAAGCTACTGAGTTAATGATTTCATTTTTTTTTAAGAGAAGTCATAGTAAAATTAGTGCAAGTTTCAAACAAGAGAAATATTCAGGCACCATTTTGTTGCTCTCCTGGCTGTGGACCGGTCAGCCTCTGAAGTCCTATGGCTGAAGTAGTCAGGGAAACCTCGCTCCTTTTGATGACTTTGTGTTTTTAGGGAATGGACTGACTTGCAGAAAATGTGTTAGCTAGTAATGATGCTGCTAAAATATATGGTGATTGAAATAATTTTAAGAGGGAGAAAAATAATTTTAAAAGTTCAGCAGCTTTAGCCACTTGATTTGCTGTTTTTCTTGTCAGAAGGTAGAAGAAAGGGCCTTTGGTAAACTATCGAGTTGACTTTTGGATACAGAACTGTATTTTTGCTAGATAAAGTGCTGGGCTCCATATCAGTGATTTTTAGAAGAAATGGAACTGAGGTTCAAATAACAGAGCTAACCTAGGGGGAAAAAAAAGTTGTGGGGTTTTTTTTCCTGTTTTCCTAGTAGTTTACCTTAAGCCAGGTGTGTAGTGTTGGGGGAAAAAATATAATTGAAACTGCCTATGTTGAGGGTTTTCATTTATTCCTGGGGGGAGAGTTCACCTCTGTTGAAGCACACCTGGGATCCTGGCTTGCCTGGGTTGTCTCCAGCAAGGATCGGAGGAATCATTCCTCGGTATCTATATGTAGCATTTAATCCACCACTGTGAGACATGGCATTTATTCTGTCACCTGGAATCTCGGCTGTTGCTTTGGATATGCTTTTCTCCCCGATTTGTGTAAGCTCTACTCTTACGCTGCACCCTCTTCAGACTGGTGTAGTGAGAGCTCCCCCTCCTGTCTCAAGCCCCTGTAACCACGGGCTAGGACAGAGGGATGGAGATGGATAGATTAGGGCCTAGGGATGGAGGAGGATAGAGTAGCATCAGTCCTGGCACTGGATTTTGAGTTGGAAAGCAGTTCTTTGGCAGTGCTCAGTGGAGTGCCTCAGAGTACAAAGGCTCAGTTAATGGGACTAGACCATGCAGGGGGTGCTGTGCCCTGGTCCGAGCTGATGGGACCTTTAGGAACCTAAGCTTTTGCAGCTCTTGCATCTGCGTGAGGCACACCGGCACCTTCAGGGACTCGAGGAGGAAGGCAGAGAGCTCAGGCAGGTGGTCTCCCGGGGCTGGTAGGGCTCGGCAGAAGGGGAGCCGATGTCATAGCAGCCCTCAGGGAAGAAGGCCGGCCGGGCTAGGCTGTCAGGGCTGCAGAGAGGATGGTGAAGGTGAGGAGCGATGGCTGGAGCCGGGAGCCCGCCGGGGCCTGGCGCCGGGCGGGCAGCGCACCTGGGACCGGGCGGGGGCAGGCTGCGGCCCGGGGCCGAGAGGC